ATATATATCAATATACATAACACAATCAAATTATTGTAAACAATTTGATACTTTACAATATGGTTATACACTTTTTACAAATTGTAAAGTATCAAATTGTTTACAATAATTTGATTGCATCATGTATATTGATACATATATGTTTTTTATAGACGTCATGCCTTCTTGAGCAATTCTGAAGAAGAGATTTTTGTTGATCTCAAAACACATCAAGTGCGAACCATGCATGATCCATGATTAGATTTGCAATACCATCTCTGATGACACTGCCGCAATATGTATTGTAGCTTTATATTTATTTTTGAAGATTGTAAAAATAAAACTTCAGACTATTTTTTTATAAAAAATCTCTTTTGAATTGTTGAAATTCATCATACAAGTAAATTGTGCCGTTAAAGTCCCACCAAAAAAGAGGACTTACCCCCCCTTGTATTTGTTAGGGATGTTGGCACTTTGTGTATTATATCCCTTCCTCTGTAGAGAAGACTGTGGAGAAGACTGCAGATAGACAGCTACAATTTATGTAGGAGGATTTGTTTGATCTCTGTGTATCACCTGAGGATAGTCCCTTCATTGGGTATATGTAAGCATTTACAACCACTTTAATGAGACATTGCACCTGCCAACAAACTGAAGTGGGTGGAAAATTATCAGCTGAACAGTGACTTATTTCTATCAGATGCAGTCACTTTTTAGGTATTCAGGCAGCCACTGGTATCATGCCTGCCTTGAATACAATAGCTGATAGGGTAGATTCCCCCTTCTACTTTGTTATCATAAATGGGAGAGTAACTTGATATTTCTTGTTCAACCTGTGCAGCTGAACAAGGGAAATGGAGCTGTGTATGGCTAGCCTAGTCTGCCATAATGCGCAAGTATGATATAGCGAGGTTTGCCTAAACTTGGCCATCTTACACATCCACTGCAAATTCCTGTAAGGGAACGGTCTGTGTGCATTATAAAGCATCATGGAATTTGTTGGCATTCTAGAAATTTATCACGTTAATAAATATTTGCTACAGATCTGCGGCTGCTATATTTTGTGCAAGTTCTCCTAAATTATTTGCATTACAGTAATTAAAAGAAAAAAATTAAACTTCCTTTTTTCGTGACTCCAATTTTAATGAAGGCCTGTTCACTGATAAGAAAAACATTAGCCAGCCATTAATGGCAGCACTCAGGAAGTGGGAGCCTGAGGGAAAGACAAGTGCAATCACAGCATGAGTGAAAAAGATGATATAAGTAGCGCATTTTATAGCACAAAGATCTGCTGCTAATGATGAAGGTCATTTAAAGCCTCTTAATGGGAATATCCCTTAGCAACACATTTCATGTCCACAGTACTGAATTCCAAAAATATCCCTTTCTAATCAAGCGCACACTATTGGCTGGTGTAATTCCACCATCCACTGAAAAATCAATGATAATAATAAAGAAAATAAAGACTGTGAATCTTTTTGACGTTAATATGGGGTTTGGATGTTCTCTTTTTATCCACATTACAGACAAACAATTGGGAAAGCTCATTAAAGGGTTTTCCAGGATAAGTTAACTTAAAGTGTATCTAAACCAAGAACAAAAATATATTATGTTTGTGTGTACCGTTCCTTAGATGTGGTGGCTGCATTAGTTTTCATATTATAGGCTAGGAACATTTCCACCAAGTATAGAAAATACCAGAAATGACGATTTCACACAAAAAAAACAACCAAAAACCATTTTGAAGATTTCAACAGGTAAAATGAAGTACACGCATTTTTTTAACTTCTATTATTCAAGAAAGAAAGCTTGATTATGGAACCCATCTTCCCATAAGAAACTTTAATGAAAAACCTTCACAGGCCCCAATATATGTCCCCCATAAAGCCATCATTATCCACAAGACCCCATGGGGTTTATTTACTAAAGCTGGAGAGTGCAAAATCAGACTCACTTCTGCATAGAAACCAATCAGCTTCCAGGTTTCATTGCCAAAGCTTCATTGAACAAGCTGAGGTTAGAAGCTGATTGGTTTCTATGCAGAAGGGAGTCTGATTTTGGACTCTCCAGCTTTAGTAAATAAACCCCTATGTGTCACAGATCACTTAAGGTGTAACAATATTGTTTCAAAAAATAAAAAAATAAAACAGAACTTGATCTGTTGATAATTGATCCAGGGAATATCCGATTGCCTCTCAGGGGATCAGGAAGGATTTTTTCCCCAGCAGGAGCAAATTGGATTATGCTTTGTTGGTTTTTTGCCTTCCTCTGGATCAACTGTGGGTATAGGATTATAACTTTTTTATTTTTCCTCTATGGTTGAACTGGATGGACTTTTGTCTTTTTCCAGCCAAGACTAACTATGTAACTATGTAACTTCTCACAAAATATGGATTCCTAATAATATACCTAAAATCTAACAGTAATGTTAAATACCCCATATAGCAGCACTCCGTTGTCTAGTGTGGTTACATGTAAAATTAATATGAAAACCATTGTTAAAAAAAACTAACCATTGTCTAAACCCCTGATGTCTGACTTTAGAGACAAAGAAACTGACTGTAGCTCAGAGAGGCCATACCTGCTGGGGCAGAGGTAGCTGAGCAGATGCTAAGCAGCCAGGTGAAAGGATCTCCACTGTCAGAATTGGAGTGCAGGCATCCAGGCCAGAAGCTAATAATACACAGCTTCTCCAGAAGACAAATCTACTTTGGGAAACACCTCCCTGATTGCTATCACAGCATTGCAGTTCCAGTAGGGTTGCCTTGTGTGCTTGGGTGTGAATACCTCCAGTTGTTCATTTGTGTTACTAGAGCTACCTTGGACGTCACTAAGAGGGACTCTGTTTATGGAGATAATCACAAGTAGCTGTTTGTGTTCTGAACAGTTTTCTAAAGTAGTAATTCTCAGCTGTTGTTATAAAGTCTTATAGAATGCTATGCGCTCTGATTGAGCCACAGAGACATTGCTGCAAAGATTCCATGTTTGTGCAGCTTTCATATTCCGTTTTGTATCATTCTGCATGTTTTGCTATTCTGTACCTGCTTTGCATTGTTCTTTCTAATTGTTCATCTATTTAGTAACCTGCAAGTTACAATTACAGTGGGGATTGAAAGTTTGGGCACCCCAGCTAAAAATTTGTATTAATGTGCATAAAGAAGCCAAGGAAAGATGGAAAAATCTCCAAAAGGCATCAAATTACAGATTAGACATTCTTATAATATGTCAACAAAAGTTAGATTTTATTTCCATCATTTACACTTTCAAAATAACAGAAAACAAAAAAAAATGGCGTCTGCAAAAGTTTGGGCACCCTGCAGAATTTATAGCATGCACTGCCCCCTTTGCCAAGCTGAGACCTGCCAGTGTCATGGATTGTTCTCAATCATCGTCTGGGAAGACCAGGTGATGTCAATCTCAAAGGTTTTAAATACCCAGACTCATCTGACCTTGCCCCAACAATCAGCACCATGGGTTCTTCTAAGCAGTTGTCTAGAAAACTGAAACTGAAAATAGTTGACGCTCACAAAGCTGGAGAAGGCTATAAGAAGATAGCAAAGCGGTTTCAGATGTCAATATCCTCTGTTCAGAATGTAATTAAGAAATGGCAGTCATCAGGAACAGTGGAAGTTAAAGCAAGATCTGGAAGACCAAGAAAAATATCAGACAGAACAGCTCGCAGGATTGTGAGAAAAAACAATTCAAAACCCACATTTGACTGCACAATCCCTCCAGAAAGATCTGGCAGACACTGGAGTTGTGGTGCACTATTCCACTATAAAGAGATACTTGTACAAATATGGTCTTCATGGAAGAGTCATCAGAAGAAAACCTCTTCTACGTCCTCACCGCAAAAATCATCGTTTGAACTTCGCAAATGAACATATAGACAAGCCTGATGCATTTGGAAACAAGTTCTGTGGACCAATGAGGTTAAAATCCAACTGTTAAGCATGGGGTTGGATCAATCATGCTTTGGGGTTGTGTTGCAGCCAGTGGCACAGGGAACATCTCACGAGTAGAAGGAAAAATGGATTCAATAAAATTTCAGCAAATTTTGGATGGTAACTTGATGCCATCTGTGAAAAAGCTGAAGTTAAAGAGAGGATGGCTTCTACAAATGGATAATGATCCTAAACACACCTCGAAATCCACGGGGGATTACATCAAGAGGAGTAAACTGAAGGTTTTGCCATGGCCTTCACAATCTCCTGACCTCAACAGAATTGAAAATCTATGGATAGACCTTAAAAGAGCAGTGGGTGACAGACAGCCCAGAAATCTCAAAGAACTGGAAGACTTTTGTAAGGAAGAATGGGCAAAGATACCTCAAACAAGAATTGAAAGACTCTTGGCTGGCTACAAAAAGCTGTGATACTTGCCAAAGGGGGCAGTACAAGATATTAACTCTGCAGGGTGCCCAAACTTTTGCAGACGCAATTTTTTTGTTTTCTGTTATTTTGAAAGTGTAAATGATGGAAATATAATCTAACTTTTGTTGACATATTATAAGAATGTCTAATCTGTAATTTGATGCCTTTTGGAGATTTTTCCATCTTTCCTTGGCTTCTTTATGCACATTAATACAAATTTTTAGCTGGGGTGCCCAAACATTCGATCCCCACTGTACTTCTTGCCAGATCATTCAACCAATTCCCGCATCCTGTTACATGTCTAATATGTGCATGTACGCTGCATTTGACACTTTAGTTGCAATAGACTTACCCTCCTATGACCTTCCTATTGTAGGACCCAGATAAAAGCACATTGCAAATAAATTGCTAGAGATGGATAACCACAATACTAGAGATTGATAACCACAAAATTGCTAGCGATGGATAACCAATATACTTGCTTATAAAACCAGAGATATATCTGTAATGGAGCAAATGCAAAAAGATAAGTCTCAGGTTCAAATTATGAGCTTTGCTAAGAATTATATTTGGTACCTAGGGGGCCAAGACATATTTTATTTAGACACTTTAAAAAAAGAGGCTCCTTTGTGTGTTACATTGAAATATATGGTGGATTGCTTAAGAGCTGGGATACCTGTAAAGCGTTGTCCTGTTTGCCTTTCTTCAGGAGGATGGGATGCAGATGGGAAAGGCCCCAATGTCTGGGATACATTCACCCATCAGGGAGGAGATCGCGTTCATAAGAACCAGACTGGAGATGTTGCTTGTGGCAGCTACACTCTGTGGGAGGAAGATTTGAAATGCATCAAACAGCTTGGATTGACTCATTACCGCTTCTCTCTTTCCTGGTCACGTCTGTTACCTGATGGGACGACAGGTTTTATCAACCAGAAAGGTAATTGTTTCTTACGGATACAAGGTTGAAGCTTTAATCAAGGTTATTGCTATTGTCTGGCATAATTAATTCCGGGTGTTCACGAGCATCAATCTATGTAGTGGTACATTGGGAAGATCAAATAAAGACTGCCAACTATATTTGCTGTCTATTAATTCCATGTTCTAATTACTATAATATGTGATGTATTGACTTTGTACAGCCTCATCACTGTTATGCCACCATTTAAATTATATCGCTTGCCAGAGAAAATCCGTATATGTAAACAGTAAGTGGGAGCCTCAGATATATAAATCAACATTTCCTGCAATTAAGGCAATGTTGCTGGGTAAGGCAACTAACTGATCAGATTCTGTGTTTGTGAGTTTTCTATGATATGGTAGAAAATTAATGCAACACAGGGCATATTCTTCTAATTAAGTTTTGTAGGTCCTCTGTTTCAACTTAGCAATGTAGCTCTCCTTTTTAGAGTAACTACATTCCAGTATACAATGATAAGCCAGCAGACGTCCATGTTTTTGCATTCTTTCCAGATTTTTTGTTATGACCTTAGATGTAGAGATTTGTAAATTAGCCATGAGGGGGAGCTCTGTATTTCATTTGAGCTCTGCAGCCTCTTAAAAGAAAGGCTCTCCCCCTGAATAAGCTAGCTGCCAGGATCTCATGCTGCACACTCGTTTCAATGGTTTGAACCCATGACCTGGAATAAGCAAGCAGACAAAGAGTATTTCTTTAGATTTTCCTTAAAGAGAAACTCCAGCCTTACAATCAAAAATAAGATTATCAAATCCTAAAACTGGTCCCTATATAAAAGTAAGAAAAAGCATCCTTACTAGTCCATGGAGTCCAACACTACTGCTTGTAGAGAAAATTCTCCCTAAACTGCTACTCTCTAGTGCTGCCATCTTTAATTTAGATCTGGTGCATGCGCAGACACGCCACAGGGGTCTTTGCCCAGTCTACAGTTCTTGGCAGATCCTCACATCATATCTACACAGGTGCAGACACTCAGCAGGTCCTACCAGTAAACTAGCATGCCGTATTTGTGTAGTCATGAGATCTTGCTGGCTGCTTCCTGGGATGAGTGGTGTAGAAATCCCTGGAACCTGTTCACGGGACTGCGCACATACATGGAAATGCTACAAAAGACCCATGCACCTTGCCTAAGTGAGAATTACAACACTGAACTTTAGGAAAAAATATTTACTGAAATTTGTTTTTCTTTCGGTTGCAATTGTGTTTTAGGGAGGAGGCAGGAGTGAAGAACATTAACAAATGGGTGAAGGTCCACTTTAACTATTTAATTCCCAGTAACTGCTTACTTCAGGGGTGTCAAACTGGTGGCCCTCCAGCTGTTGCAAAACTACAAGTCCCATCATTCCTCTGCCCTTGGAAGGCATGCTCGTAACTGTCAATCTTGCAATGCCTCATGGGACTTGTAGTTTGGCAACAGCTGGAGAGCCATCAGTTTGAGACCCGTGACTTACTTGGTTAGTAACTAAAGTATTAAATGTGAAGGAACAGCAAAATAGCTGGGCGCTAAGCATTTTCAGAGGTAGGTTAGTAAAGACAGTGACCCTATTTGTGTCATGATACATTTACTTTAAGAGAAGTTTGTGAATTAAAAAACAAACAAACTTTTATTCTCACCTAAGTGGATGCAGTATCTGTCCCCTGCTGCCTCCAAGACAAAGAACTGAGCGATCAAAAACTGCTGATCACTCAGTTCTTGGTCTTCACTAAGCAGAGAGCTGATGACTCTCAGCAGCTTTGGCTTTGGTCCTACTACTTCTTTAACAATTGTTGAGATAAGGGATTGGCAGCATTGAGAGTACATTGGTTTTAATAAGTCAAGAGACCCGTAAAAATGCATAATCAGAAGGAACAATTAAGCACAACCACTGTGTAGCATCCCCCACCCCTTTCCCTTGCAAGCCTGAATGGAAATATTTTAGGATGGTGAGCAAAAACACATCCATACCATAGCAATGCAGTACATCACTTATAAAGGAGAAGCTAGCCATCTAGGCAGTATGGCATTTTAATGGGTCAGCTAACCCTATGACTTCTTTTCTGAGAAAAAAAGTTTATTCATGTATGTATTTCTAACTCTGAAAAGTACCTTTCTCTCTTCCTCCTCCAAATCTCCAAATTCAGTTGGTTTTTTTCACTGCTGTGGTTCAACTTCCTGGCAGAAGGTGTCTACATCCATTCTCCATGGTCCCCCTGTATATAGGAACATAGCCACCATTTCTTGCTCGCTCCCAAGATGGACTACGGGATCTGTAGTGTGCATAGAGTAGTACACCTAATGTCCACTACCTATTCCAAAAAAAGGGAAGTGAGGTTCATGAGCTCATGGGGACATTACAAGGAGAAAGTAAAACACGGTAAGAAGCGGTTTAATGAAAAATGCATTACAGGTCCATTTAGTAGTAGATGTGTATGGGTTATTTTTGGAGAAGGATCTTGTTTAAAGTTACTTTAAAACACAACCATTATGTTGCAGAAAACAGAGTTTGTGTGTGTTAAGAGCAAATTTCCATGTGTGATCAAGTAAATGAGAGCACCCAATGAAGTGTTGAGCGTTGAGCCCAATATCTTTAGTAATTCAGCCAGTGGTATCAAGAGAACAAAATGGCAACCACTGCATTTCAAAGGCCAGATGATTCCCCCTAATGATCAAATTGGGACCAGTGACTCTGTCCGTGCATCCGCCGCATCCCAGCAGACATGAATGGGACTGCCTGCATGGGGAGGCAAGGATGGCCCATCACACAGGTGTATGGCTAGGCCTTAATAAAATGAAATATTTTACATTTTGTTTTTTGGATTTAAATATGGTTCACTTCACTTTGTCCAGTCTGCAGAGAATCACTCAATCCAAAACCTGCAAATAAAACTTCTAATAATTATCTGTAAAGCGAATGTACAAAATGGAACTTCACCCCGGCATCGGGATGTACCCTAGCCATTCAGTGGCCATCGGAGGTGGCATTCTAAACGTACCATTATGACATCATAAACTAAAGAACTGCTGAGGGTCTGTGATGACTGGAGATCAGCTGAACATGTTCACTCTATAATAATGCTTTATGTAGAGGTGTAAATAGAACATTACTAAAAATAGCATACCTAATCTTGTAGTTAAATAGTTATTTATTCATGGCACAGCACATCAATTATTCATTCATCAGTCATAATATTTGGGGTTTAGTGGGTGATTGTTCCATTCATTAAGGTTTATAGCTGTACAGTTCTGCTGAGAACTAGTGCTAGTTTCTGATATTATCCCTTTGCTTATGTTTTACTGAATGTTTATAGAATAATAAAGCAAATGTGAATTCTGTTTTTAATATGGTGCTTTGCAGTTGTGATTAAAATCCTTTGGGTATACATATCAATATTTCCCTGTGCTTTTGGATGAAAGGGGCAAATTGAACAATAATGATAACAATAAAGGAAGCTAAGAGTATTATTTCCCTTTAGAAAGTGATCTTGTAGTCATTCCCTGACAAATTATTGTCACGTACCTGGTTGAAGCTGAGCTGACGAGAGGGCTTTCCCTTACATCTCCTGGAGGTGGTGACAGGATATAACAGGGCACAGGTACCTTGTAGGAGATCCTGGCTGGAAGAACCTTGCAGCAGGTGCAGAGCAGCAGGTGCGGACTGATGAGCTGGCCGATGCAAAGACACAGCAGCAGGTGCAGAACCGCTGGCCGCCAGCAGGCTGCCAAGCAGGCAGATGTAGGATACACTGGTAGATGCAGATGTAGGATACACTGGTAGATGCAGATGTAGGATACACTGGTAGATGCAGATGTAGGATACACTGGTAGATGCAGATGCACTGTAGCAGGTACAGAGCAGCAGGCAGGTGGATACTGGATCTCGGGTGCTCAGGCAGGCAGGTGTCAGTATCAGCTGGGCATCAAAGGTGCAGAATCAGGAACCAAAACAGAACCAGAGCCAGGCCAGGATATGGGGTGAGCAGAGAGGGTACCAAAACAGCAAACAGAAGGCAGGGTGAGGTCACAAGTCAGAATCAGCAACAGGGTATCAGGAATAAGCAGGGTCAAGATAAGCTGGGTAGTACAGGATCAGGTCACAAATGGGAGAAGCTGATAACCACTCCGCAATCCTCTGGTCTCTGGATCTGCTTTAAATAGGAAAGTCAGCGCCAAGTATTTACAGCAGCTACAATGATGAGGAGCATGAATAACTCCCCTTTCCAGGTCACCCTTATCCTTGTGATTAAGCTGTTTCGGTGAAATCTATCAAGTAAAGTGATCTTGGGCAAGGAACACTATAGAAGCAGCTATTTCACTGATGGTTTGATAAAGGATGTTTAAAAGGAAGAGATATTTGGAGTGTGGCTCTTATCCATTTATGTTATCATATTTACACTGTTTCATTCATGTGCATATGGATGCTAACAGACATTTGTCACATTTGATCTCCACATCATATCAGTTACATTAAGTCAACCTTAAAAGTAAAAAAAAAAGTTTTAAACTAATTCTGATTTACGTATTAGTCCTAATCTTTTTTTTATGCAAGATAATATCAAAAAAGCTTTGTTTGCCCAATAAAAACATACAAAGCATCTTCCCGATCATACGTGACCACTGAGATTGGCTCTCACAGCAGTCACATGAGTGGGAGACCATCATTCTGGCCCCTGATCTGTCAGAGACAGCTTGGTCAGTATGCTGGGAATGCAAAGTGCACAAAACTCTCAGCACCCAACTTCAGACTGTCCTTGACACGTATGTATGGCAGCGGGAGGGCAGGAGTAATGACAAAGTTTTTTCTAAATAAATAGGTCCATAGCAGAAATTTAAAATTTGCCCTAGTCTATAAGGTGTATATAAGTGCGAGAACTGAGCCGGATTACGTTTCTCAAAAGTACATCAGTTAAGATGTATTTTGTTTTGTTCCCTTAGGAATCGACTATTATACCAAGCTAATTGACAGCCTGTTGGAGATGAGTGTCATTCCACTGGTGACACTGTACCATTTTGACCTGCCTCAAGCAGTAGAAGACCAAGGAGGCTGGCTTTCAGAGAAGATTGTGGAAATATTTGAACAATATGCCCAGTTTTGTTATACCATTTTCGGTGACAGAGTTAAACATTGGATCACCATTAATGAGCCGTATTATGCCTCCAGACTATCCTACGAATCAGGCATATTTCCACCAGGGAAGAAATTAAAGGGCATTGGAGGTTATAGGGCAGCACACAACATGATTAAAGCCCATGCTAAAGCTTGGCATGTATATAACACATTTTTCAAAGATAAACAACAAGGATATGTATCGATAGCTCTAGACTCTGACTGGGCAGAGCCTTTAGACCCAAATTCTTTGGCTGATAAAGAAGCTACAGAGCGATATATGTTTTTTTTTCGCCTTCATTGGTTTGCAAACCCAATCTTCATTGATGGAGATTATCCAGCAATCATGAAATCAATAATTTCTCAAAAAAGCAAGGAAGAAGGTTTGACGAGTTCTCGGCTACCTGAGTTTACAGAGGAAGAAAAAGCCATGATTAAAGGCACTGCTGATTTCTTCTGTTTAAATTATTACACCACAAGAAACGTAAAACCTCTTGATGTTATGCCAAATAAACCAAATAGTAATTCGGACACGGGAGCAGAAGGCATCACAGAACCAAACTGGCCAATAGCTGGAGCTGAGTGGCTAGCAGTAGTGCCATGGGGCATTCGTAGACTGTTGGCACACATAAAGGTAAGAATGTTTATCTATCTATACATTTTATTAGTAAGGCCTCTTTCACACAAGTGACTGGGGGGTCAGCAAAAATAGGTGGTTGAGCTGCAGTTTAATCTCGCCTATCCACCTAATGCATAATATACAGACAAAGGGGGGCTGTACACATGCTGCAGCCGCAATGTTTTGCAACAAATTTAACATGGCTTGTTGAGTTGTCTGCAGTATATTCCTATATGTTCTGGAAAATATTGTTCTCGTGCTACTGTCCACTTTAATGAAAATCTCAATCAGTCTTTTTTTTATATTTTCGATATATACAGTACATGAAGTGTGTGTCTGGGCATAATAAAAAAAGAAAATACATATTGTATATTATTACATACACATTTCCCATGCTTTATTCCTTAAAAAATGTTGTTAGCACAGAAAAATCTCCAAGAAATCCAGTGTGCTTCTAATTTCGTGTATGGGCTGGCAGAACAGTATTTTTGCTGCACTGAAATCCCAATCAGTAAAGCAGCCCTACCTGCTGGACTTCAGAACTCTGCTTATCTTTCTCCTACTCCATGGGCATACATTAATTTTTTTCCCAGCAAATCAGTGCTGCTGCCTTGACTACCGGGAGCCTGCCAACATGCTGCATGTAGGGAAAAGGCTCTTGGTAGGTGTAGTTCTTGGCATGCCTATATCAGTAGGAACTGAGTTCCAAGCGCTGCCCCTGCAAGAATATTGGAAGCCTGGTGATGATGTTATAGTGAGTAATAAAAGCTATTTCTCACTACAAGTACCAAGAAAAGAAAAATGATATGCTAAGACGAGATGGAGAGGGAGATCAGGAGGTTGGGGGTTAAAATTGGAATGTGAACTGCTATGTTTGCTTGTTACACATACATGCTGCTTTCCTAGTGCTGTGCAGCAATTGTTCTACAGTATGTTCTACAGTATATATAATGAGGTGAGACACTGTGTGACCTGAGGTTCACCATCCACGTATCTGGCCACACACTGAAGACGTTTAGCTCCCGAAGATTGACACACCCATGTTTTTTCCTTGGAAATATTTCATTGCTTTATCTTCATCACTAATGCTTTTATCTTCAATCTTTGCTTTTTTTTTTATCCCTTTTAGCCAGCCATAGATGGATCAAATCTCAACCAGTTCAGCATGGACAGGCTGAGACTCGCTCCATCAATGGGCAGGCTGAATGTACCATTGAACAATTTGGGTACAACCAGCATGTCGGATTTATAGCATGTGATTATTCCCAGTGGCTATAGCTGCTAGCAGTAATCACTATGTTCTCCTGGCTCCCTGCGCCCCCCACCAGGAGAACACAATAGCTCAGTGGGAGGGATTCCTCCATCAATGCTGTGTTGATGTGGGAATGGAGTGATTTTCTTTCCTTCAAGCTGTGGTTGCAGGAAAGAAAATCCCGTAATCTATGGCCTGCCTTTGCCTAAAGCCTGTTACACATGATCAGAAAATCCTACAAAAAATACCGCTTTTGAAGCGATCGTACAATAATCCGATCGTTAGTACACAGCTTTCGTCCGAAATTATTCTGTAGGACAAGCACGAAAATGTTTCTCGCACAATACCAGATCATACGATTTTAGTTTATTCAGTACAGTTTTCGTCCGAAAATACAATGCAATACTTTACATCACTTCTGAGTTTTTATTCAGAATTTTTGTAACTTTAGTAACCTCTTCACTTTCAATATTAGACTAGCATGCAATAAAAAAAAAACAACGATCATTCGTCCAATATTCTCATCGTGTGTACGGGGCTTAAGATGTTTTCTATTAAACTTGGCTTCAGGGCACACAGCTGCTCCACAGCCTCCAGTACGATCTCCTGATGGCCAATGCTCTTCACCCCAAAATCATCAAGATGTTGAGGTGATAGATCCAGCAGGTCCTGCCCTGTTATGTCCCATTCTGCAAATGGGTAGTGCTGAACTGAGGGGTCCAGACCTGATCCAGCCATCCATCAACATCCAGAGAGGGGAGTTCCTTAATGCTGATATCCACACCCGTCCATCCCGTAAAGGGACCTCTGGTTTAGCTGGATCATATACCTCTAGCCCCATCCAAGTTCTTAACCCCTTAATAAAATCACAAAACCAATCTCAAGGACTGTTTGACTCCAGTGTGCAAAGTGTGGGAAATGCATGTTACCTGCCATGCAGAGCATAGGGGGACCCAAATCAAATCCAGTGGCCCCGAAGAGGGTAGTTCTTCACATGCATACATATACACATACTAGGGTCAATGGGTGGTGGGGAGTTGAACGAATAACCCTAGTGCTACACGGAAGAAGTGCTAACCACAAAGCTGCTGTTCTATTCTGCATATGTGCATATACCCCACAGTAGGCTGAAATGGGTATTTCCAAAAAAATGTGGATATGCAGAGAGTCCTATATAATGATTTACAATGTATTGACCCATATTGGTACCTATGCATATGGACAAACTATATTCAAAACAGGTCTGTAGTCCCATTTCTGCAGTCTATGTATACTTCTCCAGACTCTATGCATAGTTAAACAGCCTTCAGTGTGCGGTGGGGTTGTTTATAGCCAATTGATAGGGATGAGCACAGTGTTCAGTCTGAGCACAAGCTCAGACCAAGCTTTGGCTCTTTGAATATTTGGTGTGGATGAAATTGACAACTTCATTGGTTGTTAGAAAGGCAGCGGGGGCTTGCAACCTCCGTATCCTTACATGGCTGAGAATTCCTGGACACATATGGAATCGGGTGGGGTTTGGAGAGGTTACATCATTGCCTAAATATGGTTACATGACCACAATTGGGCAATAACAATGATATCACTACTATCTGCACCACTTCTCTTATATAGCTGATGACAACTCTGGGAGCTGTCATTCGAGTGGTAGAACTGCCAGAATCGATTGTATGACCATGTCATCAGATTTTTTTTTTTGTTTAGCGAGTTGGTGGGCGCAGGACTGTTTTTTATTATTGATTGGACCCTGGGCAAACATTTTCTTGGGCCCCTCCACCCCCCTCTTCCTGCTGACATGGAATTTTGCTCTCAAAGTGATTTAATACATACAGTAAATAGCAGCTAGACTCAAAATCAGTTTACTGCAGCAGATCAGGCAGTGTTTGTGATTGCTTGCCAGGGGATACAGCACATCATTACAGCTTGTTGACTGGTTGCTAGAGGTTACTGCACATCATTAATGCTCACCCATTGGTTGCTAGGTCTACGGGAGGAGAAGGTGTGATCAGTGTCAGTACTGGGGGAGGAACGGGATGTGTAACAGCGCTGGGGGGTTGGATCAATAACACTCACTTTTTGTCACCTGTCAGTCAGTGTCCACTCGGTTTCCCCTGCCTGCATGCAAGGGGGCGAAGAGAGAGTGAGGGTGAGAGATAGAGGGGGAGTGAGAAAAAGAGGGGTGAAAGAAGTGGGATGAGAGAGATGGGGGTGATAGTGAGGGGGGTTTAGAGAGAAAGAGGGGGGATGAAAGAGAGGGAATGGGGTGAGAGAAGGGGGAGAGAGAAGGGGATGGGACAGAAAGGTGGGGTGAGAGAGAAGGAGAGTGAGAAAGAGAGATGGTGTGTGAGAGAGAGAGAGAAGGGGAGAAGGAGGGGGGGTGTGAGAGAGAGAGAAGGAGGGGGTGTGAGAGAGAGAAAGGATGGAGGTAGGGAGAGAGGAGGTGGGGGGTGGCAGAGAGGGGTGAGAGAGAGGTGGGATGAGAGAGAGGGAGTGGGGGAGAGAGAAGGCGGTGAGAGAGAGAGATGTGAGAGAGAGAAGGGGTGAGAGCGGGGTGTGTGAGAAAGAGAGAGAAAGGAGGGAGGGAGAGGGGTTTTGGGGTAACAGAAAGGAGGAGTGAGAGAGAGGGGGTGAGAGGGGGGATGAGAGAGAAGACGTGGCTGTCGGCACCAGATTAAGCTTCCCTGCTTCCTGCCACCACTGAACTCTCCATGACAAGGGGCTCAAGGAGCAGCTGCCTTGGGCCCCAGAATAATGACTGGGCCCAGGGCAGCTGCCTCTTTTGCCCCATGTTGAAGATGGCAGGAAACATACTTGACAATGGATTTGCGAGGGACTTTTATGGGAGATTTAATTTAGTTTTTAAATAAAGTACTTGTCAAACATTTGGGTGCCTTTATTTCTAGGTTACACTTTTTTTGTGAATGAGTAGGGGTACTATGGGGGCCCATATTAGATTAGATTAGATTCAACTTTATTGTCATTGTGCAAAGTACATGTACAGAGCCAATGAAATGCAGTTAGCATCCAGCCAGATGTGCATAAATGTGGAGACCCCTTCTTATTAAAGGGGGCAAGGTGCATCAACACTGGGACAGGGTGCTTTGCCATGAGGTGATCCCCCCTACCAAGCCATCCCACCTCATGCTGTGTGTGTGTGTGTGTAGATCTCCCTTTCAAATCCATAACACACTCAAAGGATCTGAAATTCATTTTGGGGGGACACTACAGAAATGTATTTTTTCATTCTTGCTGTAGGATGTGCTACAGCAAAAGTGACACTTACAATCAGCCCATAGCTTGTAATACAAAAAGTCTAATTTATTGCATACAATAGGATGCAGAAGGTATATCACCCTAACCTCTAGAAACATTTTTAAAACTTCCATATATCTCATTAAAGTAGAACTATAGGCAAACCTTTTTTCTTCTTTTGAATAGGAGGGAAGGTTATAACCCTTGTCAAATTATTTTTTGCCATCTGTGTTCCATTGGAGAGATATACCTCCACTTCTTGTACTGTGGCCAAAACAGGAAGTGAGAAGAAATCCCTAAAAATTAAAGGAATCCCTTGGGACCTTCAGGCCACCAAAATGGTCCCCATTGGAAGATTTCCCCTCTATTACTTTTCTGGGGACAACCCAAAATGTGAGATTTTCTTTTTCTTTCCTTTCAATAATGGGTAACAGGAAAGGAGAGGGTGAATCTCACTAACAGGGGACACAGACCGCAATAAAAACTCACAGGGGTTCTAATTCCTCTCCAC